TGCATACTTCTATAATTGCTTCAGATACTTCTGGCATAAAAACAAAATCAATTTTAAGTGAAAATTATGTCTTTAGTTTTGTCTGTTTTCTAGTACTGTAGCATTTTCAACTTTATTTTATTGTAAAAATGCCATATTTTGTAATGCCTAGAAAGTATTTGTGGATTAGGTAGCAAGTTAACCACTGAGACTTTTTTGCCTTACTGTGGTTATGGTCTGTTTTGATTTTTTCACATATTTATAGTTATGTAGGTGTTTTTTGTTTTTGTTTTTGTTTTTTTAGTTGCGGTACTGGGGATTGAACTCAGGCCCTTGCACTTGCCAGGCAGGCACTTATTCTACTGAGCTATCTCCCCGGCCCTTATGTAGGTATTGAGTAGAGGCAGATTTATGTTCAGCATTATGGCAATGCTTTTTATTATGTCCTTTCAGATTATATGTGAATTTACAGGACCTTTGAATTGATCAAAGTGGCTTCACATAAGTAAGAACTATTAAATGGACCTTAGGCAGTGGACCCAGAAATCATTTGTAGAACTCATTTTATTTTAGATCAGTCATTGGGAAGCTGTGCTGTGCTTTCATAGTACAGTTAGCAAAAGTGGGAACACTTCTTCTGAGGTGTTCAGAGTGACAGAAAGTGTTTACTGGAAATGATTTCTATAAATTGAAATAGAATTCTGCATGGACTCATGATCTAGCTTACAGTTATATTAGTCCATGAATTCTTGAAGAGCAAGAACCATCTCTTTTTGGTTTTTATGTTTAGTATAAATCTTGTGTATAAGTATATAATGAATGTTTTTTGAGTAAATGAATTATTTGCTTAATTCAGTTTGCATAGTGGAAGGAGGGAAGGATAGAACATTCCAGAAGGTTTGTTATAGGTCTTCATTACAGTGTACTTCACCTTGTTCAACTAGTTTTTCATGCTTAGTCATTTAATTGTATAGTTGAGAATTTTTAAAGACTTGGTTTCAAGTTAAGAAAACTTAAAGGAAATGAATAAGAATTGGATGAGAATATGAAATGAAAAGGCATTTATTTATATGTGGCCGGATTCTGGGCCTAAAATTTTTCAAATTTTCTATTTTTCTTCTAAGATATGTTCATAGATCAATCATGATAAATAGAAGGAAATAATGAGATAGCATTAAAGCCATTAATATATTTCATAAACCCTCCAATACTTAAGTATTTGGTTATTCATTTATTCAATGAGAATTTCTTTAGCATTTTAAACCTATTAGAGATAATCACAGATTTGTTAGTCTAGAAAATATAATATTGTAAAGATCAATAGTATGATAATTACTATATTTTTTGATTCTAAGAAACATGTTTCCCTCACTGTAACATCTGTGGAATTTGGACACATCATATAATTGGTAGTATCTTTTGGTTATAATTAGTAGCATTTTTCATTAGTAGTGCATAAAACAACTGCTTGACAATTAGTGATGCCTTAGATTTGTTGAAATACATTTCTTAGTAATCATTCAGTTGTGAGATCTCAAGGCAAGAATGGCGTGTTAATTCATCTTAGCATTTCCCTAATCCTATCCTAGAATTGCACTAAATATATTTTGTGCTAATCATTAAAGACACATTTCTCTGAAAATCTTATACCTCGGCTTATGTTTTTGAATTCTATTAGAGGCTTTAAAAAATAATATGAAAATGATCTGGCACCATTCTCCTTTTCATTGAATAGATGAAACCTCACTGACATTTTAATTTTTTTTTTTTTTTTTAAATATGGTTTGTGCCTTCCCTTAAGCAGTTACAGTGGATCTTGCTCTTAGGAATTCTTGGGTTGAATTTTGACTTCTGATTTAAAGGTGATTGGTGCACATGATTTGAGTTCCTAGGATTTGGTTTCAGATAAACTGATACAGTTTTAACTGCCCCTGTGGTAGGCTAGGTAACAGTATCCTGTGGCTGCTCCCATATACTTTATTAGTTATTTTATGATACCAATATGTAGTAAAGTCACATTGGCTTGCATTTTAAAGCTTTATGTTTTCTTTCCAGAAGGAGTAACAATACAGAAATAGTTAAAAAGTGTAAAAAGGCAGCAGTAGGATAAAGAGACTTGAAAAGCCTCAATAGGCTGGCCAACTGGATAATTGACCTCTGAGTAATAAAAAAATTGATTGTGATTTCATGCATTACTATTGAGCATTGTTTAGGTTTAACTTTTGTTTGCTGCTGATTGAATTAAAGTTTGAGGTGAAATGCTCCGTGTCTTGTTTCTAAACTCTTAACAGTTCAGTTGTCTCTTCATTGTGAGATCCGCGCATGAAACAAGAGTGAGAAAGTTAAATATCTGGATTAGAAAAAAGTGTATATTTTAAACCTGCAGCTTTCTAAATGGGAGAAAAGCAATTACAAGAGTTTAAAGAATCAATAGAAATTGATGTTTTATACCAAAGAAAACTTGAAGCCCTTGAGACCTGCCCTCCCTGTCATCACGATATAAATAAGAAGAAATCAATAGCCCAGAAACATAAGCTATTAAAGATTCTCTTCCAGCAACTGCTTTTGATATTTAAGGCACTGCTTACTATTTGGATTCAGAAAATGTATATAAGCAAGCTCAGGAAATTATATTTTTAATTTAAAATGATCATTTTTTAAAATCTCCAGGTCATTTTATCTCTTTCATTTTGAAATAAGAATGTTAGGCGCAGACTTAAAAGTAAGCCTCTCTGTGACTTACAGCTAGTTGAAAGGTCCTTTCCATTAAAAGATACACAGTATGATGCTAAGCATTTTGACAGGCCCCGTCTGATTGTTTGACCAGTGTCCCGTTAGCTCGTCCCCTCTTGCTCTCACGAAATCTCATCACAGGACTGTGAAGTCAGAATGGACGGCACTTGGGGTATTGCGAGGCTGAGCATGAGAAATATGAGCTGGAAGCTGGGTTTGGAGGCTTTCATGGCTGAAGTCATGAGAGTTAATGTTCCCTTGGAGTGGTAACCTAGAGCTCACCGGTGCCCAGGGAAACCGTGATTGCGGTGCCCCGTGCCCATGTTCACGTTGTCCGCCTTTCCTCGTGATGTGCGTCCAGCCAACAGTGCGCACATCCAGCAGCTGTGTGAGCAAGTATCCCAGATTTTCTAAATGTCCTAGGTGTTAGCAGAGTATCTTTTATCAGTGTTTATTGACTACAAGGGGCCAAGAATAAGCATTTCATAGCTGGCTGCCTATATGAGCACCTCTTTTGCTCCTATTCCAAAAAATAAACCTGAATTCAAGCAGATGTGATGCTGTGGGGAAGACTGAACTGATTCTGAGTCATTAAAATATTCATTTACAACGTTGTATACTACATTGTTAATAAATGGTTTTACATGCTTACACCACTGTATTGAATCCCTCCCTGAGAATGGTGCTTTCTTGATTTTATTGTAATAGTCACTGTGATTACTAATCCCATTAAATTATTTACTTGATAGTATTTGTGTCAAAATAACATTTATTCTGAAAAAACACAGATTGTTCCTGTATTTGCATATAGAAAATGGGAGGTGAAAGGAGAGATAAGGTGGAGTTTATCACAGCTGCTTTTTAATGCCTTGAAACTGACTTTCCTTTCCCTTTACCTCTTCCCATTTCAAGCATCTCCACTAAAAGCCAACAACGGAAGTCCCTTATCTTTCAAACCGAGAATACTACTTATGTGTGGAAAGACAAAGGAGCCAAATGGAGCGCAGCTAGGTCTGAGCTCTGGGTAAAAGAGTTTAGAGTTCAAATATCTTCATAGAGAAAATAAAAGAAATAGTGAAACTAAGAACATGATTCCAGTCCACCTCTGGATTATCCCTTCTTATCAGGGAAGCTGCTTCTTAACTTGGTTTTGTTTCATTTCTCAGAGATTTCTCACAAATCACAGAATTTTATTTTTTTATTTTTAAAATTTTATTGAGAAATAAATATCAATGAGACAGTTTCACAACCAAAAACTGGCACATTTTCAATAATTAATACATTGCATATTGTTGTCTTAGTGGTTATTCATTGTACAAGATGCAGACATGATATCCTGTCTCAAACACTATTATAACAAATGTCTCTATTCATTGAATTAAGAGAATGGAGCTGTATATCTAGCCTAACTATTTTGAGTATACAGATACAAAAGGGTCGTTCATTTCTATCCTACATTTTTGGTTAGTTTTGTCAGAGATGGGCATTCCAATGTTATTTAAATATTGTAGGTGCTTGAATTCAGCAGAATCTCCCAATATAGTCAAGTAGTCCATAATAGTAGTGGGTTTTCCGTAAGAGTAAGACTGGTAATGTCTAATGTTGTTGATTTGAGCCTTTTACAGCTCAGCATATTAATGTGGCTTTACTTTTACTTTTTACTTCGTTTTCATACTTTTCTGCTGGATGGTTAAGACCAAGATAAAGCAAGTCCTATATAGCAAGAAATGTGTCTAGGTCAGTCAAATCCCCTCAGGATTTAACCTGAAACTCCATACCACAGTTTGTAGATCCTTTGTGAGTGTCAGCCATGTGGATGAATCATGGCCATTGCTTGACCAATTTGCTCTCTAAATCACAGAATTTTAAATCGAGGAAGGATTTTAAAGGTCATATTTTTTTTTCTTTCTTTCTTTTTCTTTTTTTTTTTTTTTTTTGCTCCGAATGCCTTCAGGGCAGGTTTGGCTGGCTTGAGTTGTGGGGATCGAACCACAGCAACCTGAGCCTGACTGCTTTGTTGAAGCAGCCACTTAAAGAACTGAGCTAAGGGGCAGGCCCCCTTAAAAGTCATATTTGTGTCTCCTTCATTTTTATATTTCTAGCAGGTTATTCTTTGTAACCCTGCAAATTGTTATATATCATTGGATTCTTAGTTCCTGTATTGAATTCAGTAGCGTTTGATAAATATTTGTCAACTAAGCTTAAAGAACTTCTGTAAGTCTAATATGGTATTTCTTAGTAAACCTTACCAATTAAATGTCAACAGTGACCTTTTTTTCTCTACCCAGATTTGCATCTGCTGGTGATGATGGAATTGTAATTATATGGAATGCTCAGGTTTGTATGGATTATATGTGGAATACCACATAGTTGGTATTCATAAGTATTGTAGAGTGATATTTATATCTCTTTATCATTTGAGACTAAATAATACCTGGAAAGGGCAACTTGGATAAATTTATTCAAAATAGGGACCAGTATAGGGACAGGTCTCTCTCTCTCTCTCTCTCTCTCTCTCTCTCTCTCTCTCTCTCTCTCTCTCTCTGTGTGTGTGTGTGTAAGGGAGAAAGAGACTGGGCGTTAAACTCATAGGGCCTTTGCACTGAGCTACATCTCCAGCTTTAAAAAAAAAATTAAAATTTGAGACAAGATCTCACTATGAGTTGCTTAGGCTGAGTTCACACCTGGGATCCACCTATCTCAGCCTCTCACAGTGCTAGGATTATGGGCGTGGGCCATCATACCTGGGTAATATTTATTAAGATATTTTCCTGAGAAACAAATGTTATTTTTTTTTTATTTTTTTTTTAGGGAAGGGTCTACCGGGTGTTCAGGGTCTCACTACTAGATCAGATTCGTAGTGCTCTGCCTGTTTTTCACAGTCTCCCAAGAGCTGGGATTACAGGCATGTGCCACCATGCCCAGTCTCAATTGCTGTCTCATGTGCCCCAGGAGCAGAGCTGGCATGGCAGGCTCAGGGATTGTACCCCTAGCCCCTGCGCCTGCTTGCAGGGCTTTAATTCTCTGAGCTATGTGGTTGGCCCTTACAAATGTCATTTTGTGAAAATAAAAATTGTATTCTTTTAAATTTTTAAAAATTCTTTAATTAATTAATTAATTAATTAGGTTCAGGGTCTCACTATGCAGCTCAGACTTGTAGTGATCCTCCTGTTTCAGCCTCCCCAGCACTGGGATTACACATGTGCACCACCATGCCAGCTTTCAGTGGCTGGCACATCATGCCCAGGGTTCTGGAGTCAGCAGGACATGTGGTACCAGGGATTGAACCAGGGTCCTTGTGCTTGCCAGGCACTCACTTAGACCGCTGAGCTATCTCCCTAGCCCCCAAAATTTATTTTATTAAACAAAAAATAGATCATAAGCAACTGTGCAATGACTTTCAGAATGGACCAAGTATTGATTTTTGTGAATGGAACAATTCTTTCTGCATTGTACACTAATACCATTTGACATTCTAATTATTTTTCTCCTCATTTGAGTAGTAATCAGTAGGTTTGCTTTTTCAAAATATTAATGTCATCAGGTTTCTCCAGGGCCTCTTCTTTTTTTTTTGCAGAACTGGGGATTGAACTCAGGCCCTTGCGCTTGCCAGGGAAGCGCTTATTCCACTGAGCCATCTCCCTGGCCCCTCTAGGGCCTCTTCTTGACACTTTGTTTTTCAAATTACTCTTTTTTTAAGGAGTTTATCCTCATGTACCTTAGTTCAAATTGTTACCTGATCTGTCAGATCTTCATTTCTCAGTGGCTTTGCTTATACTGAAGCCCTTCTTGGACGTCCTAGTCTCCCTGGCCACAGAGGAGTGCCAGGACCTGTGAGTATTGGCACCATAGATCCTCTCCAGAGGACTTGTACAGCCCAGTGAGATGTAAGGGCTATGATACTTGTTGCGCTATTTTTAAGTAGTGACAAGGAAAGAAGTCTGTACACTTTCAGTGCAGCTACAGTCTTTGAAAAACATTTTTGATCTGAGTTTGGTTAAATACCTAGGTACAGGACTGGTGGATGTAGAGGGTTAGGGTGCTTCCAAAGTAGTCATGAAATCCATTTTAGTTTTGTGTGTTTACTGCTTGGTGCTCACAGGAGCAGCTGACAGGAGTGCCCTGAGGAAGCGGGGCTGGTGAGTTGCCGCCCCATGTGATGCGGCGGAGACTGCCTCCAAGTGGGGGTCAGTGTGATGTGCACACACGCACGCTGTTGTTAAGGCTCAGTTTCTTCCAAACATTGGAACTGTACAGGTAGCTGACAATAATAATTCCGTAGAGATTGAATTGATGTTTTCATTGCTTAATTTATATAATTACTGTACATTCTTAACATCATAGGAAAAATATTCCTTTAAGGGGGCTGGAGATATAGCTCAGTGGCTTAAGTCCTCGACTGGCAAGTGTAAGGGTCTGAGTTCAATCCCTGGCACCAGAAATTAAATAAATAAGTGAATGAATGAATGAGTAAATAAATAAATAAATAAATAAATAAAATATTCCTTTAAATTAGATTTTCTGTTTAGAAACAGCCAAAATTATGTACAGCTATTCTTTTAGTTGTTCTATTTTATTGTTTAAAGCTAAAAGTCCTGAATAAGTAGTTTTGAAATAGAATATATGTATACTTTCTACACAGTCGTTCTTTTTTTTTTTTTTTTTTTCCTTTGGTGAAACAGGGGATTGAACTCAGGCCCTTGCGCTTGCAAGGTAAGCGCTTATTCTACTGAGCCATCTCCCTGGCTTCTACACAGTTGTTCTTAATGTTGTCACTTAAGACTGGTTAAATTGGAAAGATGAGCCTATTAATGTTTTTATTGGTATTTCAGACTGGAGAAAAACTTGTGGAACTCAGTGGACATACTCAGAAGATAACGGCTATTGTTACATTTCCTTCCTTGGAATCTTGTGAAGAAAAAAATCAACTCATCCTGACAGCCTCTGCCGATCGAACAGTTATTATATCCTTAAGTCTGGAAGAAAGTGAAGCAGCCACAGTGACCGTAGGGGCCCTACATACATTACTAGTGCTTAGCCTCTAGGGTTTCGTCTGAACCTTCTTGTCATAGCAAAAATGATTTTTTTTTATAGTCTTCATAAGAGACTTCTTAAAAGTATTGGGCACCTGAAAAGTATTAGACTAGAGATAGCAGGTTAAGGGTTGTGTTGATGGAAGCCTCATAATTGAAGCTGTTGGGCTGAGGATGTAGCTCAGTGGCTCAGGCACCTGCCTGGCAAGGACAAGGATCTGAGTTTGACTTCTAGTAAAAAAAAAAAAAAAACCAAAAAATCCCTAGTCTCATCACTGAAGCTGTTCTTTCCATATAGAGTTACTGTTATATCAAGATGTGCAAAATGGAGGAAATGGGAGACAGTGGCCTTAAAAATATTTATTGTATTATCTCGATTTGCTTTTCAACTAAGGGAAACAAAGATGAATTGGACTAGAGAATTAATTCATGTTTTTAACCCCTTCTTTTACAGCAAAAGCAATTTAATGTCTTCAACCCAGGAGCTTCAAACTCTGCAGAAAGGTCCATTATCATTGTTCAGTTTTTATTATTGGCTTTCAGGGTTCAAAGCAATTTTTATAACGTTACTTTCCAGATGAGAAAGGGGAGCACAGGGAGTGCTAAGTGTCCTCCCCATGGTGCACAGCCAGTGTAGGGAGAGCTGAGTAACAGTCTGTCTGCAAAACCAGAATGATGACCCACTATCCAGCATTGGCTTAGCAAGGCATCTTCTTAAATAAATTGAGCCTTGTAATTACTTTATGGGGACCTGGACTTAGGAAGCCCATGGCCAAGTGTTCTGGACGATTTTTTTTTTTTTTTTTTTTTAGGTGGCACATTGGCTTTAACTAACATATTTGCTTATCTGAAAGTTCCATTTAAACAATTTGGAGCATTAGTGATATTAAGTTTTGGAGTAAACCCAAAAGGTCAGCTATTTCTTAGGGTTCTGTAGAACTAAGACATACTTAATACCATACTTTAAATGAGATTGTCTGCTGATATATTCTGTGTGATTAATTGATGACAAGAGTATAAAGTTTAGGTCAGAATAACATTTTTACTGCTGTTCTGTTGAAGCAAATATTATTTTATGGAATAAAACTTTTTTTTTCTTTTTTAGTATATTCTGCACAAGTAGAATTTAAAATACTTTATTAAACCATTCCTCAAACACTGTAATAATATTTCAAGGGAATTATTAAAATTACTGTTACAATACTGAGGTAAGTAGCTGGGCTAGCATCAGTATAAATTTCACCTATAAATGATGAAGTCATTTCTTTGGCTGAATGGTTTGTCAAAATAAGCAAGTGGTAGGCTGCATAGTTGGCAGTTTGTTTTACCCCAATAAATTATAAATTTATTCTACTTGGGCCTTCACTATTAATTAAATACTTCCTTAAATGCTGAGGGTAGATTTTTAAAATTTTTGTTACATGGTAGCCTGAAGAGCACAACTTTTTCAGCATGGAGTGTTCAGCTCTGAAATAATAAAAGAGTGGGAGATACTAGTAGAATTGTGGTTAATGTAAGGCCAGCGAACATTGATTACTGGGAGCGCTTTCTGAGTGTCAGGCAGTATGTTTAGCATGGTAGACACATAAATGGATATATAGATATCTTTCATTTTCATAAGGAATAAGATTAATTTGTCAAATTCCTTTCCATTTTTAAATATAAATACAGACTTGGCATGTGTGCAAGTCAGACAATATCATTGTGTTTCTTACCTTAGAAAATAGTTCAAACTTTGAGAATCATCAGGCTCCAAAGTTACCCTAACTCTGGACATTTTAGGAAAGGCCTTCTGTTTTACATTTGCATACATGAGACGTTGTAATGAGACACTGGTAGTGTGTTCTTTGAGGGTAACGCTGGTAAATCATGCCCGTGGCATCACAGGGAGCTAACAGGAAATATTAATTAATGAATTGGAGAGTTCTTAGTAGAGCTACTTTATGTTCATGTTTATGGCAGACTGTTGTGGAGAATAAATGTGAAGCAGTGCAATATTTAATACCCATGAAGACTTAGGCTATCAGATCAGCAATTCTGTTGGCATTTTCAAATAGTTTGATGCTAAAATTTATCTCAAGCTTCTTTTAGATCATAAGCCTGTTCCAGTAAGTTGATTGCTCACTGTATGAATTGATATTCATGAAAGGATAAATACTAAATATTTCATCTTTCATTTAAAGTTTTTATAGCTGAATGTTTAGCCTTTGTGATTTAATTGTGAAGTAGAAAAATTGTCTTATGATTACAATTTTAAAATTCTATTTGGAAATTAATTTCTTAACATAAATTTAGGTGTGGGATGGCAATGCTGGCAGACAAGTTCAGAGGGTATCGTGCTTCCAGTCCACAGTGAAGGTAAAGTCTCAGGCAAAGAGGAGTTTTTGTTGTGTCTGCTTTTGTCACAGAAAAAATGATGTAATAAACCAAGTGAAATTACTTTTAGCTTTTAAAAATTATATCTTTTACACACACCTACCTACACAGGGCTAGATTTTTTTTGGAGTCTATGTTTTAAATGTTAGAATGTTTCATTTGCAAACTGCAGTGGGAATTAAATGCTACAGCAGAATGAAGAAAAAGTAAGGCCTGACCTGTCTTAACTGGTAATTCCGGAATGGAGCGGCAAACAGAAACACCTAAATGACACCCAGGATTTGGAGACAGATTTATTTACATCGATGGGCACTGATTGAAATCATTCCCAAAATATCAGGGCCAGATCTCTGGTGGTCTGGTGCTTACACAGGATACGCAAACAGGAAGTACAGAGGCAGATTGGCTAGTCAGTTGGGTTGGGTTTAGACAAGGTGCATTATAGTAACCAGCTATGCCTCATAGTAACCAGCTATTCCTAAGAGACAGAAGCAGCTGGAACTGGAACAGGAACTATTACCTGGGCAGTGTGTCTTCTACTGTAATACACTGAAATTTTTTAAGGGTTCACTTTTTTTTAATCACATCACATGCACTCCCACATCCTTGCTTAATATGTATTTCAGAGCATAAAAAGAGTTTGAAAAATGCTAATATGCTATATTAAATAATGAAACAGCATATTATCTCCAGTAAAACGTGAGCAAATCAAACACCACAACATAGGAAAAGGATTATACATCATTTCCCTGAAATATGAGCTTGCTTTAACATCTTAAAATCACCCAGTGAGAAAAGGGAATGAACTTACTCAAAGGCAAGAGTTACTGAGTTGAGGAGAAGGACCGGAGAGGGAGGGGGAGAAAGAGATTTATCTAAGTATGCAAACAGGATGGTTTGGACAAGTGTACTGTGCCTTTCTGCTGGTCTGTGGAGAGGAGCAGCTAATGCTTAATTTGTTTTGTTTCCTTTTTTCAATTGTTTATACTTTTTCTCTTTTTAATTTTTTATACATTTCTTTTTTCTTCCAATTTTACATGCATATATCTTGAAATATGAGTAAGTGGTTGGAAGACAACACTATGTATTACAACAAATACTGTGAAATTCATATTACTTTGTTAAGTGAAATTCTATATCACCAAAAAATTTTGTATCATTTATAATTTTTTTCTGTTTGTACTTTCTTTAAAAAAAAATCACCCAGTGAGATACCATTGTGTGAGAACATAGGACAGAAGCAAAGGAACAGAGAAAACATGTTCATACATGTTCTTGCATGGTAAAAATAGACAAAGAGGGGATGAGAACTTCCAACTACAAGACTGTACTTTAAACACTTCAAAATATTATTAGTGAGATTAAGAAAGACAGAGGTGGGCATGGTGATACATACCTGAAATCCCAGCACTCAGGAGGCTGAGGCAGGAGGATCACTGCAAGTCTGAGGCTAGCCTGGACTACATAGCAAGACTGTGCCTCAAAGCTGCAAACTGCAGACAAAAAGAATCTTGCTCTAAATAAATGAAAAGACAATCCTGTACTTGTATATTAAATTTAATATTGTCAAGATTGCAACACTACTCAAATAGATATACAGAATAAACATCAGAATTATAGCTGGATTGCTATTTTAGAAATTAACAAGCTAATTTTAAAATATTCACCGAGGGATCTAGAATAGCTTAAAAAATCCTGAAAAGGAATGTAATATAAGGTTGTAATGTTCACCCTTCCCTATTTCAAAACAAAGCCACAATAATCAAGACAGTGTGGTACTTGCATGGCAATAGTCATACAAATCAAAGGAATAGAATTGGGAATCCAGAAATAAAACCTCCTATGAGTGAACAGATGATTTGGACATGGATCCCTCGACCTTTCAGTCTCTGCAGAGCGTGGTGCTGAGCCGGGTGCTGGGGTTCGTGTGTGCAGACCCGGCTGCTGGGCAGCCGAGATAGGATTGCTTGACCCTTATGAATGCAAGCCTGGCTTGGCATCATCACCTTGTCTCAAAAAGATAAAAAAGATAAAGCTTAATTGAGCCTTATCATTAAAAAAATGAAAAACTTTTGTGTTTTAAAGAAAACCATAGAGAGACTGGAAAGATAATCCATAGAATGGGAGAAATATTTGCAAATCATGTATCTAATAGGACTTATCCAGGACATGCAAAGAACTGACAGCCAAAAAAAAGGGGTAGTATAGTTAAAAATAAGCAATGGATTTGAAATTTCTCCAAATAGTATATGTAAGTGGCTAGTTGGCACATGAGAAGTTCAACATTATTAGTTACTAGAGAAATGTAAGTCAGATGTGAATCTTTTTCCCCAGTACTGGGGATCCAACTTGGGACCAAAGTGGGGACTTTGTGTTTGCAGGCAGGCGCTTATGCTGCTGAGCTATATCTCCAGCACCAGAAGTGAAAGCGAGACACCATTTCATACATAGTAGCATGGCTGATGTCTAAGACAGGTGTAGCACGTGTTGATGACCATATAGAAAACTGTAGCTTTCATAGATTGCTGTTTTTTTTTTTTTTTTTTTTTTTTTTTTTTTTTTTTTGTGGTACTGGGGATTGAACTTAGGACCTTGCACTTGCCAGGCAAGTGCTTATTCTACTGAGCTGTTTCCCCGGCCCTTGCCTGTGGTTTGAGAAGTGTTAGTCACCCTGGACATTGGCATTTCATCAAAATTATTTCACTCAGCAATCCTATTCCTAAATGCAGTTGAAAAGAATAAAAATATGGCCACCCTACAGTGTGTGCGTGAATGTTCACAGCAGCATTGTTCATGACAGCGTAAATAACAACAAATGGATAAGCAACATGTGTATGGAATATTGTTTGGCAATAAAATGAAACACAGTAATGATATGAAAAATGCAGAGGTGAGACAGGTTAGGACCTCTTGAGATATGTAACTGGTATCAATCATTTTCAGCTCTTTTCTTACATCAGCTTTGAAACAGCCTTACCCTCACTCAGCCTAGGGAAGACCACTAAAACCAGCTTCTCTTCAACTCCCTTGGCATTGCCCTTGTCCTGGTTCTAATGGACCTTGGTGCCACCAAAGGGAAAGCACTTCTGTGGCCCTCAGAGCAAGTGCTTTCCTGAGTTCCCAATAGAATTATTGAGAGCAATCAGGAGATGGGGTTAATTTAAAACATCAAAACTAAGATCATATTTTCTATATTTAAAAAAGGGCTTAACTGGTATCTATTATCTGTTACTGAGTTGAAATTACTTGGAAACTACTTGGCTTAAGGCAGCAAAGGCTTATTATCTCTGTGTGTATAGTCATAAATAGAAACATTCCAGCCAAGTGGCTCTAGCCCTGGTTCTGTCATCTGAAGCCCCATGTGGCCTGGTAGGGCCTCCTGCTGGGCTGTTCCTGCTACTTGGCGTAATAGTGCTGTTGGTGCCAGGAGGCCTCAGCTCTCTCTTTTTGCTGCTCCAGGGAGTGATGCGAGGACCAGGAGGAACTCACTGTGTCCCTGTGACTTCCTCTTGTAAGTCCTGCATCATCCTTTCTGTCCTTTTGGTCCTGTGACACTCATGTCAGGCATAGAAGACACTGTTACACAGACACTTTTTGACTTACTGGTACAGCCCAAGTTCCTGGGGAGGAAACTAAGCCTCACCTGCCCGAGGTTGGAATTTCGGAGAACTTGCAGACATAATTCAGAACTACCCTACAATGTGTGCTTGAGTTTCTGAACTCTTTAATCAATTTTGCAGTGTTTAACTGTTCTTCAGAGACTGGAGGTTTGGCTCTCTGGTGGGAATGACTTATGTGTGTGGAACCAAAAATTAGAGCTCCTGTGTAAGACCAGCCACATTTCTGATACAGGTGAGAACAAATCAAATTGTGAACAAATGAATAACAGACTCCAGAAAGACAAGTGAGTTGTCAGAATCTTTTCATAAATGCAAAGCTCCAAATTAGTTTTTTTTTTTTTTTTTCAGTTTTCAAGATTGTAATTAACCATTTTAAGTAAGTACTTCCCTTCAGATAATTAAATGAATTTTTTGGGGGCAGTACTGGGAGTTAAACCCAGGACCTTTGCATTGAGCTATATCCTATGCCCCTGTTCCTTAAAATTTTGAGACAGGGACTTGTTAAGTCATTAGTTATCCGGATTAGGCTTAACCTTACAGTCCTTCTGCCCCAGTTTCCCAGAGTGTTGGCATTACAGGTGTGTATCACTGTGCCCAGCTAATAAACATTTTAAAAATAAAAATTGTCTTTGTTTACACTTATCCTCCTGTCGCCCCTCCCCTGTTCTTCCGTCTTCTCCACCTTCTGTCACTGCAATCCTCTGCCTTCTCCCCTGCTGCCACCTCCTCCTCTTTGTACATGGAAGATACAAAGTACAGTGATGAAATAAGCCCATATGGAAGAGAAATTAGGCCGTAAATTCTGTTGAAATCACAGCAGTTCCACTAGGTGGGATCATTAGTGGTCATTGGTGGTAACAGTGTGGCGCTTCAGGCCCCTGTGCATGTCATCGTTTGTGGGGTCTGAGATGGGTAAAATATTTTCCAATTTGAATATGCATTATAAATTACGTATATATCATAGTGGAAAAACTATATGTCAGACAAAAGTTATGGTTAGCCTCAACTCATGTCATATAATTCAGATAGGAAAAGACACTCAGAACTTTAAACCTAGGGTTTAAACATCGGAGAATGTTTGGCTAGTACCAGCTACTGAAGGCAGAAGGATCATTTGAGCCCAGGAGTTTGACGCTTGCTTAGGCAACAGAGTGAGCCCTTGTCTCTTAAAGACAAAAACCCTTGAAAAACCTCTGTATTTTAAACAAATATGTAAAATCTAATTATGTCAATAATACAAGAAACTTGGTAAAGGTGTTCACTGGCCATAAGCATGCTACTTGAAAGCCATTTTCTTGCCTCTGGCTCCTGTTAGCTAGCTCTAGTGCTACAGGTGGCTCCATTTTGCCTATGCTTTCATTTGACATAGAGCTTGCAGGGGCAGACACCAACTGGATATCCTCTGAGCTTTCCTACCTAGAGACAGTGTCAGATGCCACAGGCTGACCACTCGACGCCAGAGCCCACCTCAGGTGCTATTTATAAGCACTATAAGTTGGGTTCACATGACCCCTCGTGGTTTGTTTAATTTGCTAGACCATCTCACAGAACTTAGGCCAACACTTGTCATAAAGGAGTTACAAAGGCTGCCAGTGAAGGGATGCACGGGGCCTGGCACACAGGAGGGCCTGAGCACCACCCTGCCCACATGTGTCACCACCATGGGCTGGGCTATGGGGATCTGCCCTTTGGGGTTTTATGAGGCTTCATTACCTAGGTACCTAGGTGAGGCACCTAGGTGTGGTTGCTTCAGTCATTGGCCATTAATGACCAGTTTCATCTCCAGGTCCTCTCTCTCCTTGGAGGTCAAAGGTTGGAGGTGCAAAGCCCCAGCCCTCCAATCCTACCTGGGTCATTTCAGGGACTAGCAGCCATCTGTGGTCCCATGGGCATATAGAAAGGCATGTCTTGAAATCCAGAGGACTTCAGCAGTTGTGTGCCAGGAAGCGAGATGCGGCCTAGGTATCTGTTGCTCAGTATCATACTGACTCTTCCTGCCAGGGCTGCTTGGCCTTCTTGGTTTACGTGGAGGGCAGCTCCAATTCTGCATCCCCTTTTGAGCTTTCCACCTTGTAAATGGGTGATGGTGATGATCATACTGGATCAGTAGGGCAGAACAGCTGCGTACTTACTGTAACAATAAAGATGTTCTGTGTATTCTATGGCCTTGGGAACCATTCCAGTGAAAATGCTTGGTGAACGAGCATTTTCCACCTGTAACACGCCAAGGAGGGTGTGTGCAGCAAAATGTGTGTGCCTTACTGTTGCCACCCCATTTATGAGGAATGACTGATGTAAAATAATATTTTGTATATCTATAAAAAGATGATTTGACTCTTGTTTTGTGTGTCTCTAAAGGGATCAGTGCTTTGGCTGAAATACCTAATAACTGTGTTGCAGCCGCAGTTGGCAAGGAACTGAGTGAGTATGGTCTTTTCTTCTCTCTCTCTTTTATTTCTAAAAAAAATACATATTTTAAAACTAAACCACAATATACATCCTGGAATGACAAAGTGATTGTTTCTTTCAAGGATCTGTCCCTACTCCAGCTTGACCTCATGGGATTGCCAAATATGATAGGGAGTAGACCATTTTCAAGATGCTAGGTCCCATTTCTTCTTTCTGGTCAGTATTTCAGGTTACTGTGTCTGTTAGTTTTCTTCTTCCTTCCTTTCTTTCTTTCTTTCTTTCTTTCTTTTTTTTTTTTCAGAACCAGGGATTGAACTCACAGGCCCTTGTGCTTGCCAGGCAAGTGCTTATTCTACTGAGCTATCTCCCCGGCCCCTTCTGTTAGTTTGATTAAACAATATATTGCTATTCTAAAATCCTAACTCCAGTCCATGAAGCATCCTCTGCCTAGAGTCACATTTTCACATTCATTGAATAGGTGCATTGGATGTTCTTGTCTGTATTGATTGAAGAACTTTTTGGCAGCTAGGCTGTCAGAATTTACTAACTTGGCTAGAGACTTGTCAGTTGGTGAAATACTGTCAGAGAGACCAGAAATGTGGCATGGTCTGTTGGCCAGAAAGGAGTGTGAGAAGAAAGAGAGTCGTGGTCATCAGGGACTAAGGTTGTGCCACACCTCGCAGGTTAGGCCTCCTGATCTTTGGGCCTCCCGGTGCTTGTTCTGGGAGCTTCTCTTAGTGCTTAGTGTATTGGTGCTAACTAAGCCTGTACATGAGTCTCCCTCTCGCCATGGGCTGAGATCCTTCCAGGATAGTGACGTAGCCTTACTCACATCAGACAGCACAGCTCCTAGAGCATGTGAACGCTTGGTAAATGTTGTTTGACAGAATCCTGTTGATTGATTTGATTTTGTGTTTTCTTTTTTTTAATCTTAATGTATTTAGGACAGTGTCTACAGGGTCTTACTACATAGATTGAACTCACAGTAACCCTCCTGTGTTCAATCTCCCAAGCACTGGGATTACAGGCACATACCACCTCACCCAGTCTCAATCTTGTTCTCAGTGTGCCCCAGGGGTGGGGCCAGCACGGCATGCTGGGGATTGAACCCCAGTCCCTTCATGTCCCTAAACTTTAGTCCACTGAGCTATCTAACCCACCCAGATTTTGTGTTTCCTATGTTGATTAAAGTTAGGATTTATGCTAGTTTAAATAAAACTACTTGTTAAAGTCAGATAATGAATCAAGCAACACATTGAACATCTACTGTTTTGAAAAGAACTGTATAGCATACAGAACTAACAAACATATTCTTAGAGAATGTATAATTCAGTGGTATATACCAAGGTATGAAGAAAAATTTTTAAAGCTGCCAAAGTCTTCACTATGTTGAAGTTAAACTTATTTTGTAGCAGAGCTTACTGTACTGGTAGCATAAGTTGAAAAGCTGAAGGTGGAGATGATTTGGAGGTATGGACCAGTCACTGGCCAGTGAAGGGGTTGGTTCAGATAGCCAGGCATGAGGGGACACCCTGGGGAGCAGGGGCACTAGTTGCGGTAGTAGGTCTGGAAGAGTCCATGAAAAAAATGAGTTGGGGATTGGGGCTTAAGCAGACCGATTCGGGCATCTCAAGAAGCAGTTCAGGGGCTAGGGAGAGAGCTCGGCGGGCTAAGCACCTGCCTGGCAAGCACAAGGACCTGGGTTCGACCCCTGGTACCATATGCCTTGCCAGTCCCCCATGCCAAGCCAGCCATCAAAACCGGGCATGGTGGTACACACCGATAATCCCAGCACTGGGGAGGCTGAAACAGAAGGATCACTACAACTCTGAGCTGCATAGTGAGACCCTGTACCAAATAAATAATTAATTTTAAAATTTTAAAAGAGAAGCCATTCAGATTGGTGTGAAAAAGGCTGTCCATGCAGATGAATTTTCCAACATGTTATTTTTCACTTAATGAAATGTTTACATTTTGAGCAAAAATGGGATTTTTATCTTCTTCAAGCATTCCAATAAAATTCATATCTTTTTCCTTTAGTAATTTTCAGGTTAGTAGCCCCCACTGAAGGATCAGTGGAATGGGACATCATTGAGGTCAAGCGGCTCCTGGATCACCAGGACAATATTCTCTCCCTGGTTAATGTCAATGGTAAGCTAGTTGTGCACATTTATGTTGTGTAACATTTTGTACTTGTTTGCCTATTGTGAATTTCAGTCTTGTGTTTATTTGAGAATTCTGGAATTGAGTTACTAAAATAATAGTTTAGATTAAGAGGATGTTTCAGTTACTTTTCTCGTTGCTGGGAAGAAATACCTGACACCCAAAATTAAGGTTAATTTAGCTCACAGTAGAGGTTTCAGTCCATACTTAGCTGGCTCTGAGGCAGAGTGACTGTGCAGAGGGCAGCAGTTCATGGCAGCAGAAAACAACAAAACAGCAAGAGCAAAAGGGGAGGAGTGGCGGCAGCAATGGCTACAGAGTTTGCAGGTCTGTCTCCCTTACGTTGCATTCAGGCTCTCTGCCCCAGGCCAGGTGTAGTGCTCACACCCGTAATCCCAGCAACACTTACACCCATAATTCCAGCACTGGATCATGAATTAATCACAAAATCTAGCCCCATGAGTGCGTGGGGATTTGGGGGGCAACTAGACACAAACCATAAAGGAGGGAGGGATTGTCACCCTCTTTCCCCTAAGCGTTCAGGCAGTGCATTTGAGCATCTTACAAGTTGGCAGGCCTAAGAGTAAGGCACGAGGAGACTGGAGGAAAGCAGAGAAGAAAGGCCGAGAAGAACATGGCCATCTGGGAAGCCCTGGGGGGCCATAGGATGACCTTCAGCATAGGCTATAAAGACAACCCCTCGTGGCATTCTCAGCAAACATTCTTGCCAGTCTGCCTTTGTAGACCCTGGAAATAATTACACCAGTGGTGGTGAATCTGTGGTACATATATTGTTTTTCTTTGCAGAGAAAGGATGTTAGGATGTTATAGCTCAGGGGATTGAAGCTCCTACAAGCAGGTGCAGGAACTGGGGACTCGATTCCTGGACCTGCAGTGCTGGCCCACCCCCAGGGTGTGCTGAGATGGCAATTGAGACTGGGCATGGTGGTGTGTACCTGTAATCCCAGCTCTTGGGAGGCTGTAAACAGGCAGATCACTACCAGTCCAATCTAGTAGTGAGACCCTGAACACCATGTAGACCCTTCCCTAAAAAACTGGAAAAAATAAAAACAAAACCAAAAAATAAATAAAAGATGTTAGTGTATGATTATTTTCTAAACTAAAACCTCAGTATTCAGGTTTAATTGCAGTGTGGGCACCTTGGGATAACTAAGTAGGTGGGGGCTTACAGCTTAGACTTTTCTGTCTATACTTGGTGTTAGCCAGAAGGCCAAGAAGTGATGGTGCACTTGTGTCTAAAAGGCTCGCTATCACTGAGTTCCGCCCTCTCATCTTGCTGACCATGGCAAGTCATCTATGACAGTAGTTCAAGCGGGACTTAAGGGGTTGGGGAGATAGCTCAGTAGAATAAGTGCTTGCCTGGTAAGCTCAAAGGCCTGAGCTCAATTCCTGGTTCCACAAAACACACACACACACACAACAACAACAACAACAACAACAACAACAACAACAACTAGCAGGACTTAAGCCAGTAGCAGTAATGACTGAGGAAGAGAACCAAGGTTTGTAGAAGATAGATCACATCTTCCCTTCCTTGTTAAGGGCTTCTACTTGCCAGATGGCCTATGTGAACCCATAAATGGTTTTAGTGTCTGCTGTGAGCTGACATCAGAAGGAAGATAAGCTCACAGGCTCAGGTCCTGGCATTGAACTCCCTCACTGGCAGTGAAATAGCGTATGTCATCAGAGCTCTGTGGGTGACCTGAGCGGTGCAGAGGAGAGGATCGTGGCTGCCTTCTGCTGTCTGTAGAGGCAGCACGTGGCTCCTGTAAGGCTGCTGAGCATGAGCGAGTGAGAAGACTGAGAGCCCAGGTCTGGCTGGCTCATTTTCAGCAACATTTTATATAAACACGAGATGAAGAGAGACACAAGGAACATGAAGTATAGTCTTTTGAGTGTGACCTGGTCACATTTTCAGGGATGTCGGTGAGAACGTCCTGCCTAGATCCAAGCCCTGTCTCCACTGTCCTCTTCCTGTCTGGCTCAGCTGCACATCATTTGAGGACCATATCACCTGTGGTAATATATCTGACAGTGGTTGTGCGCCCTTCTTTTTCTCTGGGTGCACTTTCTCTCTTGCCATGGATGGCAGCACGGAAGGCAAGTTCTCATTTGGGAGACCCTTGAAAGCCTCCTCAGTAGCACTTGGCCATCAGTCCCAGGTCCCTGTAACTGCGGGGAAAAGCATGGCAGTGCTGTCACCCGTACTTGGGGCCTGCCTTATTGTCTGGCTTAGTGGTAAAGCCCTGGTGCTGCAGAGCCAGTGTGCTTACTTCCGTGATGATGCCAGGATGTTCCTCAGATATCCTTCAATTCACAGCCCACCCTGTTCAGTGGCCTGTCCAAAGAGCCTTTAACATTTTAAGAAAGGTTTCCTCCAGTAAATCATACATGCATGGCGAGGTAGTCTGGCAAAATTTGAAAAAGATTTGCCAACAGTCTGATCTCATACACGGACATGTCCAGAATTCAGCGAATCTGGGCAATCTTGAAGTGTCTTACACAGTTCTCTGTTCCACTTTCTGCCCTGCTTCTTGGTTGTCACCCATCACCCATGAAAAATGTGGCAAGTCCCTGAGTTTCCGTGTCAGAAGGAAGTGCTTTTTCAGTGAGGCTGTCCCACAGCAGCCTTAGCATGGCATGCTGGGATTGTGGGTAGCGAATAGCAGGCTCCTGAAGAGACTGAATGCCCAGGCAGGCTTCCCAGGACAGACAAACAGGATGACTCCACTAATCTCTTTTTCAAAAAGCCCCTGGGTTCTTCCTTTTTATTTTATTTCTTTGTTTTGTGCTGACAGCGTGATGTGGTAATCGCAAAGTGTTATAACTTAAGAGATGTGGATAGATGCCAGGGGGAATTTTAATACTAAGTGGCTTTTGATACTTACAGAATGAAAGAATCCATCCACTACTAATACACCATTGAGGTTGTTAGGTGTGAAACATTTGAATGGCCTGTCAGGGAATATAAATAATATACACGGTGATGTATATTATGCACACTTGGAGAGCTGACTCGGATGAATGCCACTATTTTGGTTTTGGTGGAGAATTACAAGTGGTCTTTAGTACTGTGTTTCCACTGCATAGAGGAGGCATCGAGTGAGGTCAGAGCAGGCACCTACATGGTTTCTGTAGGCCAACTCCATGTTAACACCAGACCCTGAGCTGAATTCTGGAGGCGTCTTCACTCCTTTGTTTTCCTATGTGTTAGCTATTTTCTTATTGCTGAGACAAAATACTCAGCGTTCAAGTAAAAGGAAGAAATATTTATTTGAATCACAGTTTGTTGAGGTTTCAGTCCTACAGAGGAGAAGCAGTTCATGGCAGGCAGAAGGTAGCACAGCAAGCAAGGATGACCAGAGCTCTTTTGGTCCTTTATGTCTTATCCAGGCGCTTAGGGTGGGAGTCACTTACACCCTTAATCCTCACACCCTCGCGCATAGCACTGCATCATGAATCAATCCCAGCATCACACACTCTAGATCCAGCCACCTGGGCGAAGGCCCCAGCTATGACTGCATGAGGCTTTTGGGGGACATCTGGACACAAGCTGTAACGCCCTGGTTCTCTTGCAGTTTTACTGAAATTGGAAAGAGGAGAGAAAGGGGTAGGAGAGAAGATCATGGAAAGATTACTACTGCTTTAACTTTTGCAGTGTAAAAAACAGAAAGAGGACAGTGAAGGGAGGGCTTGGATCTAGGCAGGACATTCTCACTGACATCCCTGAAAATGTGACCATGTCACGCTCAAAAGTTAAAGCAATGATTGTTGAGAGTTTAAGATCTTTCCACATATGTACTGCCTACCTGTGCCTTTTGTTATTTATTTTGTTTTATTTATTTTAATGTATTTGGTACAAAGTCTTACTACACAGCTCAGTGAGTCTGAGTTCACTATGTTTCAGCCTCCCCAGCGCTGAGATTACAGTCGTGTGACACCACACCGGTCTCAGTGGCTGGCTCAGAGCAGGGCCGGGGCAGCATGTGCTGCTGGGGATTGAACCCCAGTTGCTGCACTTGCCTAAGCAGGTGCTTAGTCCATTGAGCTATCTTGCTGGTCCTGTACCTGTTGTTTTGTCTGTTTAGGTCTTTTGTGTGTATTTTTTGTAGGGGTATTTATCTTTTTTTAAAAAAAATATATTTAGTACAGGGTCTACAGGGTCTCACTACATAGATTGGACTTGGAGTGATCCTCCTGTTTTCAGCCTCCCAAGTCCTGGGATTAGTCGTTATCTCAGTGCACCCTGCGGGCGGGGCTGGCATGGCCTGTTGGGGATAGAACCCTGGCCCCTAGGTCTGCCTAAGCAAGTGCTTTAATCTGCTGAGCTATCTGGCTGGCCCTGGGGCATTTATCTTAAAACTTATTATGCATCAAATATACCAAACCTATTTTGACATTTAAATTGCATATTCTCCCCAGCTTTTTGTTGTTTAAAGTGTATAGGTTTTTTTTTTTTTTTTTCTTTGTATTTTTGTGGTCCTGAGGATTAAATCCAAGGCCTCACATGTATGTTTGGCAAGTGATTTACCACTGAGACAGATCCCAGCCCTGGCTTGTTTTTTTTTTTTTTTTTTTTAAAGCCTGGGTCTCACTAAGTTGCTCAGGCTAACCTCAAACTTGTAGTTCTCCCGCTTCAGCCTTCTGAGCAGCTGGATTACAAGCATGTGCTGCCATGTCTGGCAAGTTTTTCCCTTCACGAGCAAGTTATATTCTCAGATCTGTCTCTTTTCCTGCTTCCTTTGGAGCCCCTTGGCGCTCTATATTTATAAAACTACCCACCTTTTCTTCAGTCTTTTTTGTTGTTGTTTTGTTTTTGTTTTTGCAGTACCAGGGACTGAACTCAGGCCCTTGCACTTGCCAGGCAGGCACTTATTCTACTGAGCTATCTCCCCAGCCCCTTCAGTCCTTTAAGTACTTGTAATAATTTATTCTATCATTCAAAAGTTATTTTGGTACTTCATTTAAGGTTATTTTATTTTTTATTCCCTGACAACTTGACCAAATTCTGTAGCTTGAGATAATTTCTTCACTAGAGCACATTATACTAAGTCATTAGTAAACCTGAGTGTAGCTCTGGCCTTCTTGTTCTGTTGTGGAATCCATGTGCTCGCCTGGGTATCTCACTGTTGCGATCGCTGTGGTCTGTGGAGCATTGCTCTAAGCAGTCCATGTGTTTCTACTGCTGGCCTAGAGCGGTGATGGTGAACCTTTCAGAGATAAATGCCAAACTGCAGCCCCAGACCCACTTATTTGTCCCCAGGTGCCAGCACTGCAATTAAGCCCGAATGCTGATTGACGTTTTAGTTTAGAAAAAGCAACTCTTATGCTAACGGTGTTTGTCTTAGAAACAGTCACACACAGGCCATCACTTCACCACCCCTGACCTAGAGGAACTGCTGAGTAATGGAGGTCTTTGAACTCTGCCTAGATGTGAGTTTTGTTACCGGTTCGCATGTCGGGGAGCTGATCATCTGGGACATCCCGGGGTGGACCGTGCGGGCCTATGAGCGCAGCTTCTGGGACCCAGCTCCACAGCTGGACGTCCAGCAAGAAATCAGACTCTGTCAAAAACCAAATGACGTTTCTATTCATCATTTCACATGTGATGAAGAGGTAAAAATAAAACCTATACATCTAATTTAATTTTTAAAATTGAATCCCATTATGGGTATAGAAAATATTGCTTTTAGTTTCAAGTTTTGCTTTAAAATGATCTAATAGTTTCAAAGATAGTGCTGTGTACATTTTAAAAAAGGCACTTTAATTGTTGCTTCTTATCTTAAGACAAGGGTAAGATGGTCACAGCTCTTTTGGTATGTTTCTTAGAGAGGTGAGAGAAATTTAACAGTTCCACAATGTTTCTCCGTTAGTCTGTTAGCACCTGAGGTAAGATAACTGCCGCTCTCTGATTCTCATCCTTCACAAGGATGTTCGGCAGCACATGTCCTATAAAAGATCAGCCAATCACTGAATTTTGGCTTGGATTAAAAAAACATCACTTATAGCCTGAGGGCCACAGAAAATGTGTTTAAAGGAATTATTTTTCTAAATGTAATAAAAAATGTTGGCTACCTTTGTGGAGAGGGAGTGGGATAGCATTTCTTTCACTCTATATCCTATGCTCTTAACCTTTCTAATCCTGAATGCATGTTGCTCTTTTTATTAAAAATTATCAGTGTTCTGGAGAGGAAAGATATCCTAATTGTTTTTTTTTCTTTACAACTCTTAGTAGAAGAACACAAGAAATAAATAAGAGGAAGATTTTAAAAGTATATATGTACTCCAAGATTGCTGTTTTGAGTTTCAAATTTGCTTTTAAAAAAAAAATAAAAAAAAAAATATATATAATAAAAACAATATGGTCTCAGAAAAGATAGAGATCAGATTGCTTAGAGACCTAAAAGCTATAGATATGCTTAACTTTATCCTTCTAATTTTTGAAAAAGATACTGAACATTTTTTTCCAGTCCAGATCACGCTATTTAGGTTCTGATGGGCCTGAGCTTGCTTTGGTTCGACTGGTATAGGTCTGAGTTGACTCTGGAGCCTGTCCGAGAGGTCAGAGGGCCCAGGTCTCTGGTTGCAACAGGAGATAGTTTGCAGGCGTTTGGCAAGGTCTGCCCCTGAGGCACAGTACCTATCAGGAAAGAGTGACACCTCAGTGAGTGCTGCCTGAAGTCCAGGAAGCCAGGTGCTGTGGTGTGAGGGAAGAGCAGAGAGCTAGACTAGCCTGACCTTGACCCTGGTACTGCCTCCATGTCTGGTTTCTTGTGAGTTCGCTCACCTTTACAGTTTTGCTGCTCTGGAAAAAGGCAGTAAATGCTCGCCTTCCCTGCCTTACCAAGGTGGTGCGCAGGCAGAGTGAGATGGTCGTTGGTGAGCGTGCCTTTAAAAGGTTAAGGTGGTTTCAGTAAGAAGGTGTCTCTAAGATTACATTTAGAAGGGTATTTTTGTGACTCCTTCAGAGGCTCCTAGGTGTCAGTGCCTCTCCACAGCATATGTTTGTCTGGGTCATTTGTAGGGCTCTTGATTAAGATGTGAATACAGAGTAATTTTGCTCACTTTTTCCAGGCAAAAGTAGCTGAGTAATTTTCCTGAGGATGCAGTGTTAGTGGGTAAAACCCGGCTGTCCTCGGCAGCTTAGGCCACGTCTCCTCCTTGACTGGTTGAATTTAGTGGGGGGAACGTGGTGCCCGGGGTGCGAAGCGCAGAGCTGCCTCCATGGGGGTGCTGTGCTTCTGCCTGCTGTGTGCTCTGAGCTTTCCTGGGTGCTTGGATGGATTTGGACTTGAGAGGGCAGTGCAGTAATTTGGGCTGAAGGTTGGGAACAGAAAAGGTAATGGCTTTTGGATCTCATATATGGCTGGAAATCTAGCTCACCAGGGAGTGAGCGCTAGTTTTACACCCATTTCTGAACTTTCCCCTCCAGAATGTATTTGCCGCAGTCGGGAGGGGCCTGTATGTGTACAACCTCCAGATGAAGCGTGTCATTGCCTGCCAGAAGACCGCACATGACTCCAATGTCCTGCACATCGCCAGGCTGCCAAACAGGTACCAGTGCTCATCTGCTGTGCCTCAGACCGAAGGACATTATGGTCCTGGGGCCACCAGTGTCATTTCTCAAGTGGCCCAGTTTCCTGCCTCTGAGGCTTGACCTGTGGTGGTGTTTTGGAAATGAAGACTCCCTTATAGCTCTCTCCAGCAGAAGAGCTAGTAGCAATATATAACAAAAATCTACAAGAACAAGGTTTGAAATGAATTACATTTAATTTTATGATAAGAGATCTTTTAAAAATTGATGTTGAATAGAAGTAAAAGGCCTTGGGGCATGTGCAAAATTGTTATTCTTTTCATATTTCCTATGAACCTGCCCTTTTGTTGTGTGTTTATAGGCAGAGACAAATGGTAGTCTCCACGGTGAAAGCTACTAAGTGGGTGTCTTCTTCTCAGGGTGGGCTTGGCTGCTGAACTTCTGGAATGAAATTCTGGGAAGGGCGTAGCCTTTTCTGTATTTAGGTAGAAACATAGTAAGAGGAGGGAGGGACTACACGCTGCTCAGGACCCTGTGGGGATGTAATGCATACTGTGTTTGCCCGAGTGCACTGTTTTAGATGGAGATAATACATTTGCAGTCTTTGAGCCAATGTCACATAGTGTAGCATGTGCCTTTTCTGAAGAATGCTTTTAGTTTGCATTGTACAGCCGCGTTAAATTACAGTGTTTCTCAGCTCCTGCCAAGAGCTGAATAAAAGCAGCTAAGGATTCCCGGATTTCTCTCAGTGGCCATTTAGCATCTGGGCCTCCATGGTGCTCTGTCTTTGTGTCACTGGCTTTCTGTGCTGACAGGCAGTTAACCTCCTGCTCAGAAGATGGCAGTGTACGCATTTGGGAGCTACGAGAGAAACAGCAGCTGGCAGCTGAGCCGGTACCAACAGGTGTGTCTTTCCCAAAAAGGTAGTGCACCGCTTCCCCACTGTCTCTTCCTCCCACCTCTCTGTCTGTCTCTGTTTCCCCATGTTCTCATACAAAAGGGAGAAGAAAGGTGGTTATATGAAATCACAGGAATATTACAGCATATGCTGCAAAGTGGCATTGGTGTCTCTAGGAGGCATAAGTCACTGGGCCACAGGACTCATGTCTTCATGCTGCCCTGATACAGAGCTGCCTCAACAAGGATTTCATTGTTTTGAAGGAAATCTATTATTTTCTAGTAATCTGAATGCCCAAATGGCCTAATGAATTGTGCATTTGTATTGTCTATGATTTTAACTGATACACAAAATTTATACCATCAGATGTCAACAGTATTCTTTGGCCATGAAGTATTATCATTAATACCAATTCAATTTACAGAAAAAAACCACTCTTCTTTGTGCTGATATCATGATTCAAGAACCCTTGACATTTGTGTGTTTGGTTTGGAAACCAGACCACTGCTGTTTGAATGACTTAGTTGCCAACCCTGGGTGGCTGCTGGTGCCTGGCACTGGGTCTTTCAACTTCCATGAAGTTCTAGGGTACTGCGTGTGGCACACGTGCAGCTTTTCCTCTAGGTTTTATTTGGAATATTTTTTTTTCTTTTGACAATTAGATACTTTCATTCAGGCTTTTTATTTCTGTTTTATTCTTAGTGACTGAGTTTTTTTTGTCACGTGACTATGTCTTCACCAGTGGGTATGAGCAGCAAAAAGACATACCTGGTTAGAAAGATGAAACAAAGCAATGTATTATAAAAACTAGCATAGTATCTTGTACCATCCATTGAACCCTTACCTACTATAAACGCAGAGCAGTTTTGTATTTTCTGGTCTCATTTTATGATTCTTAGCACAGCAGTTTGGGGAATGACTGAAATTTTTGTTTTCTAGGTTTTTTTAATATGTGGGGATTTGGAAGAATGAACAAACAAGCCACCCAACCTGTTAAAAAGCACCAAGAAAATGGCACTTCGTGTTCACTGGAGCTCATTGGCGATCTCATTGGACACTCGTCCTCCGTGGAGGTACAGCTCGCAGTGGGCCTGCACCCCATGCTCTGTGCAGCCAGCGGCTCTCAGAAAGGCCCGTGCTTTCTCAGTTGTAGGTTTGTGTTGCGTGGACTAGCATAGGCTGTAGTGTGGGCAGTCAGGATCTCCTTTTCAGAGGGAGGCTCTGACGAATCTGCTGTTGAGAACAGATGTAGTGTTGTTGGGATAGGAAGAGCTGCGAGTAAGAGCAGTGTGAGGAGTGTGGAGTGTGCGTGATGGCAGATGGCACATGGGAGGGAGGGAGCTTAAGCGCTAATGAATCTGATTCCAAGGGCCTTCATCAAATCCGTGGACAGCATTGTTTTCACTTGTCTCTGAGGGATAATTCGTTATCTTTATAAAACACTGTACTTGCTGGATATGCTCCTGTAATTGCAGCACTGAGAGAGGCTGAGACAGGAGGATTGCAGCCTTGAGATGGGTATAAGTGAAATAGGCACACTGTGTCTCAAAATTTACACTAAACTAAACTAAAATGAAAAGGGCTGGGGATATAGCTCAGTAGTAGAGCACCTCTGGGTTCAGCCACCAAAAGAAAACAAGCCCCCGTACCTTATTATTGTACATATATCAAAATTAGTTGACATTTACAAGGTGCCCAAAATTGTGACTCATTGAAATCCAGAGACATTCAAATTTATTACAAGCAATGTTGTGTGAAATGAGATCAGTGCAGACGAAGAGGTGACTGGAACTAGTCACAGTGCCCTGATAATAGCTTAAGAAGGGGCCCAATTAATGCAGTTTTTGACTGTTCTTCTCTGTCTCATAGCCAGAAAGTAATGGACTGCTTTTCATTTGGAAGAGCTTCATCCTTACACTGACTACCAAGCATTTCCTGCCTTCCAGGAATGTAGTCTAGCCCCTGGGTTATAGAGCCACTAGATGCTGGAGCTTATGAAGAGATACCTGATGCAGTGTTGGTACTCGGGAAACTTGCTCACTCATGGAGAGGAGGGAGACAGACCTGATAGGCTGTTCTCTGCTGCTGCTGTTGGACCCAGAGGAGTGGCAGCAGTGAATGATCAGGGCTCAGAGAAATAGCTTTTGCTGAAGCCTGTACATGTTGGTGGAGGAGCAGGCTTGAGGCTTGCGTTGAAGCAGGAAGGTCAGTAGGACTGACTTTGTCACCACCCGTTCCCTGCTGTTGGGGACCGTCTGTCTCACTCTAAGAAGTAGCTCAGCCTTTTGGTTTTTGTTTTGCCTGGTGGCTGTGGGTATAGTTCAGCATGGTGAGCAGGCAACATGGTGACAGAGGACAAAGACAGTGTTTTGTGGTGGCAGGGAGCGGATCGGCTGGCCAAGAGCCAATTGTGACTTATCAACACTTGAAATTTTTCATGAGAAATGAAAGGCTTTTCCATTGAAATAGAAAAAGACTTCTAGGTATATCTTAAAGCCCATATATTAAACCAGCATTGGCTTTTTTTTTCCTATCCTGAAGTTCCTATAATCAGTAGTCTCAATGTTTCTTTGCAGATGTTTTTGTATTTTGAAGATCACGGACTAGTGACTTGCTCTGCGGATCATCTCATTATCTTGTGGAAAAATGGAGAGCGAGAATCTGGATTACGCAGCTTGAAATTATTCCAGAAACTAGAGGAGACTGGGGACTTGTACCGTGCTGCCTAGTGTAAAGGAGCAGGAGTACACTTGGATGAGCCTGCAGCACCGAGTACAGCCTCATGCCCTGTACTAGTAGTGCACTGATCACTTAAACTTGCAGTTTTTGACAAACTATACAACTGTGTGTGTTGAGTTCTTTTGCGTGCATCTTCTCAGGTGTTATTAGTACACTCACCAGGGAACATGCTGATTGGTTCCCAATGGGTGTGCACTGTTGACTTAGGGTCGGATTTTGCATTTCTTAATATGAACCTAGATCCTTGTGAAGGAATGGCCTGTGTAAGAAGTATTGTATAAGTGTACTCTTTCTCCTGCAGATTTCCCTGAGCTCAAACTTGAGTCTTAGCCAAAAAACAAACTGTACTACTTCAGTATAGTGATTTTTGATACTTATTTTTTTAAAATCATTAAGAAGTTTTTCAGTTTCAGCTACTGAAGTCTTTTTGTGGTTGAGTCCGTACGCACCTGGTGAGGGTGTATTTCTTTTCTGATGTGAATTCACCTGACCAGCCCTAGGCCAGATGAGTACTGGACCAGCGGCTGCTACACAGGTGTGCTCAGTTGAGCGCTAGCTCAGCATCTGTGCCGTGCTCCAGGGCCAGGGGCTGCGGTCGCCAGTGCCTCATCCAACTGAGCTGGTACAGTGTGAGGTGCCCAAGAAGGCTTCACTTACATTGTCCCTCAGGTGTCCACTGCAATTGACTCATCTTTATCACACCACCAGGTTTGTGATTAAAGTCCTCTTTTGATGCTGAAAAACATGGAATTATTCTTAAATTGCCAGTTAATCCTAAAGAGCAAAGAAAGGGAAAGGTAACTGGCATTAGATGACTGATCCTTCTAAGAAGCCTTCTGCAGATCTGTGTAACACACACATGCACACGTGCATGCACACATGCATGCACACACACGTTCCCTCCCAAACTGGAATCAAATTCTTATTTTCATTAGTTTTAGGTTTTTCCACTCGCTGCAGTCAGGCCAGCACAGCTAAGCTCACGGGGTCGACCAGAAGCATGATGTTGTAACTGAGGAAGCCAAGGCCTGTGCCTAGTCAACTTGGCCAGTTGTGTCTGCTTCTGTCACTGTGTAGCTGAGAGACAAACAAAGGAGAGTGGAGCTCGAGAGGCTGAGTTGACCTTGTGGTGCACATGGAGGAAACGACATACTGTTCCCAGCCAGTAGAAATAGCTTTATGGAAAAATATATTAAAACTTAGGCTAGCTCCATGGAAGAATATGAACGTGACAACTGGCAGTGCCTTTGAGCCAGTGAACTCAAGCCCTGTCCCAGTGGTGCTCCTCCACCCCTAGCCAGCGTTCTGACCACTGAGGGAGACATGTGAGGGCAGGTCATGACCTTCTCCAGGCAGACAGGTGGTCTGATCCATGACTCAGGCCCCAGTCATGCAGACTCATGCCATGCTTTCACTCGTGGGCTGTTCTTTGTGAATTCACTATGTCATGAGTTGATAAAGATGTTTGCTACAATTGTATGGTAAGGAATTCATAGATTTTTAAACCATTTTTACTTATTCTGGGTTAGTATTTTACGAGTTGCAGGAGCACACACACACACACACACACACACACCGTAGCAAACCTCAGAGTCACTGCACTCTAGATGACTGGGTTTCCACCAGGACAAACGGTAAGTTCAGAGGGATTCTCATCCAATTGGTGAAGCTGAGGACTTTGGCTTCCCGAGTGCTTTGAGTTGGTGTGAAGGAAGGTGGGAGCAGCCCGATAGGAGCTTCTGGCGGGGGGTGGGGGGCTCCAAGCCCAGTCACTGCTCAGTAGGAACATGCAGACTTGCTATAAGCCAAACTTTCAATTTATAAGAAGTGATCATTGAGTTCCATAGATACTATGTGAGTTTCTTCATTTCCCTAGCTTGGTTTCTAGTATTTCCTGATACTTACAGTACCAGAACTAACTATAAGTTATTGTGCCTTGTCGTTTATATTTAAAATACTTGCACTGCCTCCTCTGGCTGGGACACAAGATAAAGCAGGGCTCACCTTTACATTTCTCTGAGTTGAGTAGGTGCTCGTCTGACTTGTTCCTGGGCAGGAGGTAAACCAGTCCTCACTGTGGCAAGAAACTTCAAAATGCTAAAATCCAGTGACAGTGCTTCACAACTAACTGGCTGGAGTAATAGGTATGAGGAGATGAGGATCATTTTGTAATTTCCTAAATTAATATGTCCTCAACAGTGTTGTGTTAGTAAATATGTATAAGAGGTCATCGTACTCTTGCATTATGTGGGAACTGACTAGTATACCACCTGAAGGACTGTATTTCTAACAAACTACCTGAAAGAATGTACCAGTTAGCAGGGCTGTGCTGAAGCTGTGATACTTGGCGGTCTTAAAACATCTAACATCCGCATGTTAATAGAGTTTGAAATTAACTGAAATTGATGTCATGAAACACTGAGTAAACTATAATGTTTCATACAGAAAAGGCCAGAGAGCTGATAAATGTTACTTTCCACATGGAACCCAAAGCAAGATGGTCAGGAAAAAAAGATTTTCCTTACCTCAAGCAAACTTCTGAAGCTTAGGCAAATTATTTGATGTTATAAATGCTTAATATGAGATTCTGGCATTCTTATTTCAATGTGTGATGAAAACAGCGTGACTCATGAAATAAAGGACACTAAACCCAAAATTTGAAATTATGAAAAATTTAGGCCAAAGAGGTAAAATAAAAACAGCTGTTGGGAATGAAAAATGGCTGTAGGAATTTAGTTACAGGTACTTCACGAAAACACTTCATCACATTTACAGAGTGCAGCATTACAACACAAAGCTGGCCGCTGTCCCAACCAAGCAAGTTCTCTTATCATCTAACAAAAATAATTTAAATACATTTCTTTGCATGGAATTGTCATATATGTTTCCATTTTTTTGTACAAAACATAGAAAAGAACATTGGCACGTTATGTAGTGAGAGGTCATTATTTTTCTTTCCATGTACCAATTTCATGTGTTCTGCTTCCTAATTAGCAGGTGGAAAAGTAACTACTGATTCAGTTGTTTCAGTTTCTGTTTCTGTCCCTTAGAAATGCCTCATGGGGTACGGAGAAAGAGAAACAAGATACTTTGTTTACTACGTTTCTAGTGTTCACAATACATAGAGAAGGGTTGGCTGGTAAAAGGAAAACCCCACGTCTGACTTGATGCGGATCACAGAAAGTTGTGAAAGAGCTGTATAAAAATATGCACTTGTGCTTCAGAAGCTTTAGCGTACAATTAATAGCTTAAAATAGTATATACTCCCTTTCCATACTCTGTTTTCTGATACACCTATACACCTTGCAATCCCTTTTATCTGCCACTTAGAGCAGATGCATGGTCTCAAATATAGGCAAGTTAAAAATACCTGAACCTTGAAACTCCCCCTCCCCTCCCCAAATATATACGTATAGGTGGCGCATGGCACAACAAACTCCGTGGGCTTAGACCCAGGAAATTTAGATAGTTTTAATAAAAATTTTCAACAGCAAATGTATATAAATTTTTTTTCTTTTCTTAAAAAATGCTTGTCCAAGGGCATTCAGATTTGATGGCTTTTGTATAATACTCAGCATAGTGCCTCATGCTTGCCTCAGTAAGGGAATCACGTGGGCCCCACTCCAGATGTTGCCCCCCACCCCCATGGATGACTTCCATTTCCATTGAAGAGGGCCACACCCTGCTGGCACCTGGGAGGAAGTGCTCACCAGGCTCAGGCTGCCCTCTAACTGGGGTGTCACACCACCGAACAGAAGACCATCTCACCATGGAAGCCGTGAAGCTGACTACTATATCCATAATTTGGTCCTAGGTGTTTTGCTCATTTTATGTAACTTTTTTCTTAGGTATGTCTGTTCAGATAAGCTTTTTAGGAATCCTTCAGCTCTTCAGACCGATGCTCTTGCGAACAGTCAAGCTAAATAGCAATAGTGACTTTTATGGTAAGAGATGAACCAGACACTAGCTAAGCTAGTGGAGAGAGCCTCCCTGGCACCAGGTCTTGTGTCCTGCTAGCTACAGTGACCTAGCTCCGCGGTGTGACACAGGCACACAGGACAATGGCATGAGAGAAGATTTGCCAAGTGTTTGTTCTGCTAATAACTGACTATTCAAAAGAATGTGTGTTTTTCTTCATGGTACTTAACTTGCTAAAACTGAAATTTGAGGATTTGCAAATATCAGTCATTAGCTCCTTAACCCACACGTGTCGTGTGTTACAAAGGTCAGCCGCGCAGGCACTCCTGGGATTCTTAGTGCCCTTGTAGGAGAGGTTGTGCTCTGCCGGCTTAGCTGTCAGATGGCAGCCTCAGACTTTTGCACTTCAGATCATCTAATGTCTTCCAGTGTTTGTAGTTGTCGGCCAGGTGCTGCATGAGGGCGGGCAGGTGTGCAAAGGCTACAAGGACCAAAAGACAGGGAACCTGTGATGAAGGGCAGTTGGCACGGAGGATGACAACACAGGGTGTGGGTGATGAAGCAGTAGTCGACTTACCATCCCAAGCGTCAAACATGTCTGTGATGAAGTAGTCAATGAAGGAGATCTGGGACTTGGGGATGCTGCAGGTGTTGCGGTCAAACACGGGCATCACCACAGGGAGCCCCTGTCTCTTCTCCTCATCTGTCTGTAAGAAAAAACACCGCCACACGGGGCTGTGGGGCACAGAGAAGCCTTCACAGTAACAGCTTGTGTCTCAGAAGCTGAGAGCTCAATCCTGGGACAGTTTTAACTGTGAAGAAACAGACTGGGCGAGGTCATGAGATGTCCTGCAACTGCAGGCTGAGCCTCATCAAATTGCCCCACTGGGAGACTGAGCCACCCACCACCCCTCCTGGAGCACTGACCTCAGGGTACTCCCCTTGTGATCTGTTGTACAGTCAACCCTGGAAGTCTGGAAGGCTGCCCTTCCATCCCCTGCTGTCACGCATGGCTACACTGGGTGAGAAGCTGGCACCATGCATATTGTTAGCCAGAGTTTTCCCTGCCAGGTGCTTGTGGCTTTTGGAAACATTAAAGAATGACCTCTTTGAAGTGTTAATAGCTACTAATCTTAGGACATTTCAGCCTTTGAATATGTCTCACCTCTTGCCTTATGAACAGGGCAGACAC